TCATGAGGATAAACCCAAGGCATCACATCACCCAGAGGTGCCTCTTCACTATGTTGATTATGACTTTGTTTTTATTTGAAAATCAGTAATACTACTAGTATGATAGATTTGATTAACCTCAGTTAACTAGGAATATTCCATTAACCCAAACACCTATTTTCCCATCTGCTCTGGATAAAAAGAATGCATTATAAATAATACAGTGTATCCTAATCAGACCACATCTGGAATACTCTGCTCTGGAATCCACATTTTAGAAAGAACAAATTGGAAAGTGTTCAAAAGAAGAGCAACCAGAATGATGAAAGGCCTTGAGTTCATGCCATATGAGGACAGAGGAACTGGAGATGTTTAGAATGGAAACAAGACTTAGGAGAAACTATAGTCATCTTCAAGCATTTGAAGAGAGATATCACATAGAAAAGAGATTAGATATGGTACAGAAAAGCCTGACAAGTTTTCTTAGTTACTTAGGTTTGATTATGGAAGGAAATGAAAGACTTGAACACTGGAGGTTCACTTCAAAGGAGGTTCACTTAGCTGAAATGCAAAGGATATTCAATAAGGATTCCCACTGAGGACACTGAATAGTTTCAGGTAAGAGTTAACTCCCCTACCCCTAAACTGCCCATTGCTGTCTGCTAGCCAAGCATCAGTGAGAGCTGGAGCATCTCATAACTTTTTTGTACTTTCGTGATCAGCAAGCTACGATGACAGCCTGACCATTTAGTCCCTTGAGTCAAGGAAGCCTCCACCTTTTAGGGAAAAGGACCAGTCCAGCCCACATGGATAGGACTATGGTAGATACTCCTCCTATCACAAGATGGCTCTGGCTTCAGAGGATGAAGCTTAGAAGCAACGAGCAGAAGTTATAAAGAAGCAAACTTAGGCTTGAAGAAGGGGAAAAAAAATCCTAACAAATGAAAGCTATCCAATAGTACAATGGGAAGTTGAGGTCTTTGGGGAAAATTCCGACATTCTATTACTGTTGTAATGACTATGATCTGATGGAAAAATCACTAGATTAAGAGGCAAGAAATCTGGTTCTTCCCCAGACTACCATTTCTTTGATTGGAAGAAAGAACTGCGTCCCCCTTTCAGCCAATTAATGGCAATTCAATTCAACACGCTTTTATTAAATTATGGCTAAAAGCTGCTCAGAGACTAGCCTAGCATCTTTTGGTCATTACTCAATAAATGTCTGTTGAATTGAATTGTCACTAACTAGCTGAACAACAAGCAAGGCATTTCATCTATCTAGCTAAATTATCTTATCAATAAAACGAAGAGGCTGGACTAAATGATTTCTAAAACTTCTTCTGGTTTTAATATTTTGTGATTCTAAATATACTATGGTTAAAAAATAGTTTAATGTTGGCCGACTAATAGACAGCATTAGCAAAATTACTGTTCACTGCAAGGCACAGTGGATTTAGAAGTGGTCAAGGAGTCTGGAAGACCTGGATTCAAGTTATACCTCACTGTCCGACCCTCACTTAACCTCATATAGTCCAAGGCAACTCTCTATTGACTCTAAGTTACAGAGGAGGTACTGACCTGCATTTGGAGGTGAGTTCCCTGGACCTGTGAAATCAAAGGTTTACCTCCTATCTCTATTACTGTTGTTGTTCAGTCTTTTCAGTCATATTTGACTCTGCATGACTCCATTTGGGATTTTCTTTGGCAAAGATACTAGAGTAGTTTACCATTTCCTTCTCCAGCTCATTTTACAGGGGGAAACTGAGGTAAACAGAAAAAAAGTGACTTGCCCACGATCACATAGCTAGTAAATGTCTGAGGCCAAATTTGAACTCAGGTCTTCTTGATTCCAAGACGTGGCACTCTATCCACTGCACCACCTAGCTGCCCCATCTCTCTCCCTATCTAATAATAAAGATTAGCAGGAAGGTTGGTCATATCAAGGACTTAATGAGAGTCAAAATTCAGGAAAATTCCTATTTTTCAACTATTTAAAGAGTCCTTGACCTTTTGTGCTATAAAACCCTTTGGCACTCTGGGGAAGCCTACAGACACCTCAGAATAATAGTTTTAAATGCATAAAATAAAATGCATAGAATTATAATTCCATTTTTATTGAAATATAATTATCAGAATTTTTTTAAAAATTAAGTTCACAGGCCACAGATTAAAAATCCCTGATCTAGTCTAACACAAAAGATATAATCACGAAATCAAAAGTCAATTCACACTTCAAGACAACTGGTTTTTCAGTATATGGAGAGACAATAAACATTTTCCAATAGCCCTTAGTTTGCCCCATGCAGTAACCATGCATTCTGTATATAATCATTCTTTTTAGAAGAGTAAATTCTTGACTACACAGAGTAAGATAGAAGAGATATACGCACAATACAAACACGTTATGTTGTAAGGTAGGAAGAGAAAAACCATTCCCATTTTACAGATCAGAAAACTGAGTCAGAGAAATTATATATCTTACCCAAGATCACAAGACTGATATAAGAAAGAACCAGGATATTAACCCAAGTCCTCAGACTCCAAATCCACTGATGAAGTTTTTAAGTGTTGCTCCCTTAACTACATTATCCCCATAAGGTCAGTGGTTTTTACTGAATGATTTTGCACAGTGGGGTTTTGGGGGAATGTGTATGTTACATCACAGCAGAACTGCTCGTACTAGAAAGATCTTAGTACAAGGCAAGAGTCCCAAGAACTGTTGGAACAAGAAGTTTCTCATTAGGAGTTACCTACTGCAATTCAATGAAATAATAGATTCCCCAAAAGGTTCTACTGTTATCCCAAACTATTATATAAATCTTGCAATGTAATTTAATGTTCATGAGTTTATACTCCCTAACTAAAATGTAAGATCACTGAAAAATGACAAATGTCTATACTACTCAAAAGCAACTGCTGATTTGACAGAATGATGCATTTAGGCAGATTACTACAATACCAAAATCTATCCATTTTGAGGCTCCCTGACATTCAATTATAACAGTTTAAGAGAGTCCCCCAGCTTAATCAATATCAATAGGTATCTTGGGCAGAACTACACTTGTGAAAATGCTCGGTACTTTCAATGCTCCCATATTACTCACTTAACCATTATCCTCCCAGTGACCAACAGGGTAGAAGACTAAACATTTCCCCCAATCTACACTTACTCTTAAAAAAGAAACAACAAAGAAGATTTATATATCAGGCATAGAAAGAGTATTGCTGAATCCACAGGCCTAAAGAGCAAGAATCTAAACATGGTAAATGCCTTAAAAATTAACACTGAAGCACACTATGTGATTACTCCTTTCTCCAACTCTACAATCTAGCCACGGAAGTAAAAACAGACCAACCAGCTGGTACCTGGGGTGCACACAGAGATTAGTCTGTCAGCATACTCCTTGTACGTTCCTCACCCTTTTGCAAGAAGCAGAGGATATTGATTTAGTCCAGTCTTGTGAAGAGAAAAGTGGGGTGGGGATGAGGTGATCTATAGATAAGGGAACTCAAAGGCTACATACACTCTGTGCAAAGCACTTTGCCTACCCTCACTCAATGCTGCTAAAAGCAGACTTGCTGTAACTCAGCCAGAAATGGAAAAGAGAAAAAACCCAAGGAGAAATTAGGGCACTGCTGGTAGAATTACCAATTGGTATCTTTTTGGAAAGCAATTTGGAATTACCTAAAGAAAGTGACTAAAATGTACTTACTTCCACTTTGATCCAAGTGTACATATGCTTAGATTCCATTGCTTAGGTATATAATCCAAGAAGGTCACTGACAAAAAGAAAAGTTCTACATACAACAAAATGTTTATAGCACAACTTTCTGTGGTAGCAAAGAATTGCAAACAAAGTTAAATAGCTATTGACTGGAGAATGCCTAAACAAATGTAGCACATGAAAGTAACGGAATCTTAACATGCTTAATTGTTGTTCATTCTTTTGTTTTCAAAGAGGACCAATGACATCATGGGTGACGTCCTGACTTGTGTGTGAATTGGATTTAAGCGAATAGAGGTCATCGAAGTTGAGGGGCAAGACAAAAGTCAAGATGACTGGAGATGGTCTGGGATGCAGTGGATGACCTAGGTATCTTCAATGTCTGACCAAGCTCTAAGGGCTCCACAGAACCTTCTTCAACTGCCTTCATGGCTACTGGAACAAATGGTTCTCATCTGCCCATTCTGCTGGGGAAAGTCTTCCCAAGCTTGGGGTAGACATCCCTCTAACTCATCGGGTGTTCAAGAAGGACTAATAGCTCTGGTGTGAGGGCTTGCTGAGTCCTTTTCAGGGTTGCTCATTCACCTTGATATCCACCTGTCACCCAACTCTCACCTGTGGCTCCAAAAAGCTGTAGCATGCACAGCGGCCACACCCCAGTAAGCCATCTCAGCAGCTGGGGCTAAACCAGGCTGAGGGTAACCAATACTCTTCAAATATGCTTAATAAAGAAATGATAAACATGATGAATATGGGGAAGCGGGGAAAGACCTATATGAATGGGTACAAAATGCAGTGGGGAGAACTAGCAAAATAAGATATGCAATGACTCCAATGACCACAAAACCATCAAAACTGAAAGATGGTAAATCATCACTTCCAAACTCAGTCCCAAAGAAAAGATATGGGAAGAGAGCCCCTCCTCAATCCTTTGCAGAGGTAAGGGTCCACAACTGTGGCACACTACATATATCATCAGGCTTTTCTGATGTGATGGATGGTTTTGACGAAATTTCTAGGAAGGATTAGGAGGGATATAGAGAAAAATGTAGGTGACAGCAAAACAAAAAATATTAACAAAATTTTTTTTAAAAGGAGTGACGAGACAACACATTGATGAGAACTGATTAAAGTGTCAAAGTGAAACATCTTAAAGAAGACAAGTTAAAAATATTATTTTTTTCCGTATGTATTTCAAGCCAAAAGTAACTGCTATATAAACAGGATGTAAAAATTCTGACTTCTTTGATAACAAGATGAACAATCAATCTCTGATTTATGTGCTATGGAACTTACAAATGCTGAAGGGAGAAAAAGAACTCCAAGTTCGTAAGATCGGATCATCAGCTGGGTACCATTTTTCTCCAAAGCTCCCCAAGCAGCCTTAGATAAATTTGCACTGCAAAAACAAACAGAAAAACAGGCCTGGTTACACAGAACAAAGCTTTTCATGCCTGTTCAACTTTCACAGCTAAAAGAAAATAACTTCAAAACAAAACACCACACGTTAGCTTTCCTGCAGAAATTAAAATTCTATTGTATTATATAATCCTCAAGGACTGAATATTTAATCACTACTTAAGGTAACTTTGCAGCTCCTTAGAACTGTCCTTAATGGCAACTAATTAAATTTTTTTTTTAATTTAAAAATTTAAGTACTTTGAAGGACATCTGAGTTAAAATAAGAAACTGTTGAATTTCTTAATGGTAGTAAAAAGGACAAAGCAAATTTGTTTTACATCAAAACTTTTCTTGTGAACCTTGCATATCTAGTGTATATTTTTTGGCTTGACAGCTAGACGGTATGATGGATGCATAGACTGCTAGTCTTGGAGTCATGAAGAGCTAAGTTCAAATCCTGCCTCAGACATTCAGCTATGTGATAGTGAGCAGGTCATTTATTCAGCCTCAGTTTTCTCACCTACAGAATCGGTTATTGTGAGGATCAATTGATAACATGTAAAGCTTCATGTAAACTATAAAATTTTATATAAATGCTAGCTATTTTACCTTTTAAAACTTTATTTTTTATTCTGACCTTAAACAAAACAGAAAATTTCCAGATACAGCCAAACACACAAAAAAGGATTCTATATGAAACTATGAATCCCACTTTCATACCTGTTCATTTTTTAAAAATATATAATAAAATCTACACATTACTTTCAAAACTGTCCTGCTTGGGTTTCTTGCTGAACTTTCTGTTATTCTCTTCTGAGCATCAAAAAATGTTACAATGGCTTTTTTTTGTTTTGGAAGGTGGTAATATTACTAATCCATACCCTCCACCCCCCCAAAAAAACAAGAAACAGAAAGGAAAAGAAAAAAAACCACCTATAACCAACACAGTAAAGCAAAACGAATCCATAAATCATATAGCAAACATCTCCAAAATGCAGCGTGTGTCTATAGATTCTCCGGAGACATGGTTGGTCACTTCATGGATCACAGTTTTTAAGTCTTCCATAGTTTATTATTATCCTTGCACAAACTGTTTTTTTCAGTTCTGTTCACTTAAATCTATCATTCATACTACCCAGGCTTCTCTGAAATTGCCTTTTTTGTCATTTCTTAGGCGCACTAATATTCCATTTTATACATAGATCACAATTTGTTTGTTTTTGTTTATCTTTTTGGTAAGGCAATCGGGGTTAAGTGACTGGCCCAGGGTCACACAGCAAGTGTCAAGTGTCTGGTCTGAGGCCGCATTTGAACTCAGGTCCTCCTGACTCCAAGGCCGGAGCTCTATCCACTGTGCCACCTAGCTGCCCCGAAGATCACAATTTGTTTAGTCATTCTTGAATTTTCTAAGAGATCCAAGGAGCCCCCTTGAATTCTAATTATTTGCTTTTCCTTCCCCACCCCCAAGCAATCTTCTCTTTAGAATCAATAAATTCGTTTTGCTTGGATTTTTCCCTTCCTAGTATTAAATTTTCTTTTGTTCATCCTCTCCTCTCCACCCCCATCCATCATCCTTGCTTATTTCCTTGTTGAAATTGATGTATTTCTACACCAAACTCGTGTGTGTGTGTGTGTGTGTGTGTGTGTGTGTGTGTGTGTGTGTGTAACCTACCTTGGTCCATTTCAAATAAGAGTGAGATCCCTCTACGTCTACTCCCCCAACCCTTCCCTCCACGTTTTTATACTCTTCTCATGCATCCCAATTATGAGCACCAGCCAATTTTACCCATTTCTTCCTCCTTTCTACATTGCTTCCTTCCTTTTACTTTCCCTTCTCTTTCTTTTTTCAAACCCTCAGAGCAGAACCAGCATACCCTCAGGTCCTCTGTTTTGTTCTTGTTGTCTTAAATTCAGTTCCTCAATCACCTTTGATGACATGAAAGTTATGAAGTGACACATTGCTTCTCCCTTTATTAGAATGTTAATGTTACATCATCACACAGCCTCCTCCAATTGCCCAAATAAATTTAACCTTTCTAGGCTTGTTGAGACTTTGATGTCTGTTTCAAAATTACTACTCAGGTGTTGTCTTTTCATCAGAAATGCTGGCCTATATATTCTATTCCATTAAAGGTCCATTTTTCCCCCAACAGGATCATATACAGCTTTGCAGGTTTAAGTTATTTTTGGTGGTAAGCTTCTTTCTTTCACCTTTTAGAATACTGTATTTCAAGATCTCCTCTGGTTTTCAATAAAAGTTGTTAGGCTTCATGTGATGCTTGGGGACTACAGTTGTTTGGTACATGAATTGCTTCTTTCTGTATGTTTGCAATAATTTTTCTTTGACATGGCAAGCTCAGGATTTGGGGCCTTTTCCTTTTGGAGTTTCTTTCAGGGCATAGATTGTTTCTATGTTCTATTTACCCTCTGGTTCTAATAAGTGTGGGTAGTTTTCAATTATGATTCCTTGAAATACAGTATCTAGGATTTTTTTTTTAAATCATGTTTTTCAGGGAGTCCAATTCTTCGTTTTTGTACTTTGAATCAAATTTTATTTTATTTTCAGTTCTGAATTCTCTCACTTCTCCCTCCCCTATCCCCACCCATAAAGGGAAGAAAAATAACATTTAATACAAATATGTATGTTCACCCCCCCCCCCAAAAAGAGAAGAAAATAGGTTTAGATTTGCACTCAGATTCTATCAGCTCCTTATCTGGAGAGAAACAGCATGTTTCAACAAGAGTCCTTTGGAAATGTAGTTGATCATTGTATTGACAGGGTTACTAAATTACTAAAGCTGATTATCATTACAATATTGCTATTATTATATAAATTGTTTACTTTGCATCAGTTCATACAAGTTTTCCTGAAACCTTCTACTTCATTATTTCTTACAGTACAACAGTATTGAATCATATTCATATACTGTAATTTGTTTAGTCATTCCACAACTGATAGGCATCAGTTTAGTTTCCAATTCAATGCCACTACAAAAGATTATTAAATATTTTGTACACATGGGATCTTTTCCTCTTTTTTTCCGATCTCTTTGAAGTACAGACTTAGTAGCAGTATTGCTAAGACAAAAGGTACATAGTTTAATAGCTTTTGAGTTCGAAATCGCTTTCCAGAACTATTGGACTAACAGCTCCAACAAACAATATTAAAATACCTGTTTTCCCACAACCACTCCAGCATTTGTCATTTTATTCTTTTGTCTCTTAGCCAATATGATAAGTATGAAATGGAACCATAGACTTGTTTTAATTTGTAGCATGTATCTAATTTATTGGCGATTCAGAGCATTTTTAAAATAAAGCTATTGATAGCTTGGATTTCTTCCACTGAAAACTGTCCATTCTGATCCTTTGAAGATTTATAAAATGAGGAATATTTCTTTTTTCTCGTAAATTGGATTCAGCTCCCTATATATCTTAGAAATGAGAAATTTATCAGAGAAACTTGCAGAGATTTTTCCCCCAGTTGCCTGCTTCTCTTACACTTTTAGCTGCATTGGTTTTATTCAAAACCACCTTTTTAATTCAATGTAATCAAAATGACTCATTTTGCCTCCCCTCCACACCCTATCATCAACTCTTCCACCAGCCATTGATTTGACAAGTAATATTTTCCATGTTTCACTAATTTGTGTATCATCACCCTTTTTGTCTAAATCATGTAACATATGAAGATTATCTTGGTATATGATGTGAGATGTTGGTCTATAACTAGTTTCTACCTGACATTCTTACCTTTAATTCCTCCAAATGAATTTTATTACTTTTTCTAGCTCTATAAAGTAATTCTTAGATAGTTTGGTTGGTATGACACTGAATAAGTAAATCAATTTGGTGGTATTGACATTTTTATTCTATTGGCTTATCCTACCCATGAGCAATTAGTATTTCTATAATTATTTAGATCTGTATTTTTGCAATGAATGTTTTATAATATATATAGTTTGTAATTCATATAGATCTTATGTGCATCTTGGTAGGTAAAATTGCAAATATTTTATACTGTCTGTAGTTATTTTAAATTTATCTTTATATCTCTTTCTGCTAGAATTTGGTATTATTATACAGAAATGCTGATGTTTGCGTGGGTTTATTTTATATCTTGTAATTGCACTGAAATTGTTACGTTTCCACGCGTTTTCAGTTGCTTCTAGAATTCATAAGTAAACCATCATATCACCTGCAAAATGACTGATTTTGTATCCACTTTGCCTATGTGTATTCCTTCAACTTACTTTTTTCTCCTTATTGTTCTTAAAGCTTGCATTTCTAGTATGATATTGAATAGTAATGATGATAAAGGAAATTCTTGCTTCACCCTAGATCTTACTGGAAAAGCTTCTAGTTAATATTCATTGCAGATAATGCTTGCTCTTGGTTTTAGAAAAATACTGCTTATTTTAAGGAATACTTTGTTTATTCCACTGCTTTCTAGTGTTTTTTTTTTAGTAGGAATGGGTGTTGAATTTGTCATCACCTTTTTCATCATCTATTGAAATATTCATATAATTTTTTACTAAAACTGCCAATTACGCTTAGTTTTCCTAATACTGAACCAGCTTTGTATAACTGGAAAAATCCAGCTAGGTCACAGTGCAAGATCTGTGTAACATATTCAAGTATTTTATTTAAAAATTTTGCCTCAATACAGGCAATTGCCTCTAGAGAAATCGGTCAATAATCATTAGAGAAATTTTCTCTTTCTATTTTGACACTCCTTGGTTAAAAGTACCACGAACATATTTGCATCACAGAAGGAATTTAGTAAGATCCCTTTACTTACTTTTTTTTTTTCAAGGAGTTTATGTAGTATTGAAATTATTCTTTAAAGGTTTTGTAGAATTCATTCATAAATCTATCTGAACCTGGAGTTTTTTGTTTTTCAGTTTCATTTACAGCTTGTCCATTTTTTTCTAAGAACTATTTAACTATTCTATTTCTTGTTCTGTTAATCTTGGGCAATTCATATTTTTGCAAACA